TCGAGCATCCATGAACTGGAACGAGCTACCTAGTAACATAACTAGACTAGGGATTTCCAGAATTTAAATCAAAATACCTTTAAAAATGCTCTAAAATAATTAATCTCTCTATTTTGTAATTAGGTCCTTTTTGTTAAAATTTCCTTATATTTTCCTTTTCATTTTATCACTTTTGTATTTTTTATGTTACAACTGGACCACAACGAAAACCAGTGCATTTGCATTGAGCGTGCCATCCAGTATAAAGAAAGTTGAATAAATAAATAAATAAATATCCCCGGCTCCCTCCGCCCACTGAAAATGCATACAAACTTATTTGATCTAATTACAAATTTAACGACATAATGTCAATTAAAACAATTTAGAATAAATATTTTAAGTCTGAGAATTTCTGGGCATACAATGTTGTTACATCATTGATTCTTTTTTCAACTCAGCCCCAACCATGGTTGACCTGAGGTGAGTGTAGACCTTCCTGGTATTTGCCATTCTCTCCTAGCTACAATACTTTCAAATTTAGACAATTTTCCCCCAATGTCTAAGGGTGCCATTTTCAAGTTTAGCTCAGCCTACCATAAGGACTGAGGTGGGCATGGCCCTTCAAGTACTTGACCCCCTCAAAAAAGCTTTTGTTCCCCACCCCCTGATTAACCAGTGTAGCTATGGGGCTGTCTTGATTATAGAAACATTATACTATAGATGACAGCAAGGCCTTTAATTTGTGCTGTGACATAATCCTATATCATGGTTTATATACAAAAAGCGCTGTAAAACTTACTTTTACATTCGCAGATTCCTCAGTGAATACACAATGGGCCTATATAATATAATTGAATAATATGCAATTATCTTAAGCAATTAGTAGAGCTCCGCATAGTACACTATAGGAAAATTATTATACGAAGGTTAGATTTAATATGCTTGAAAACATTCTAATTAAGCTTGTTTTACGAAAGTAATTTTCAATAATACAATTCAATTTTTATCGCGGGGCTCCCCCACTTTTTGGCCAAAAATATATGTCTGGAGATTTTTGTATGATCGGAAATGCAAGAAAAGGAAGGAAGAAGGAGTAGAAGAATGGAAAAGAGAATGTTTATCCAGTCCCCGACTGAGTTAAATTTTCTCGCAATTCACATTGGCAGATCTGGGGGAGGGGGTCATGGGTCCTGACCCCTCCTTTGGGCAACAAAAAAAAGGGGAAAAGAAAAAGAATTCTATACCTACCTTTTCAGGACCCGTGAGCTATTTTTTTTTTGTTACGATAAGAAAATTAGAATTTTGAATAACATAAGTCATTAAAACACACTTCAAATGTCGGGAAAGCTCATTTCCCGCCTTCTAGGAATAAAAATTTTCCTGGGGGAGAACCCCCGGACCCCCTTTCTTTTTGGGATGTATCAATTCATGGAAAAAATCGTATGCAACTACTCAATTTTTTGTGTAGGCCTATGTATACACACATAAGGCCTATCTACTGTAATAACAATGGGAAAAAATTATCTGACCGTTTTGAAGAGGGGAAAACCATGAATTTACCTTGAATACCTACCTTTTCAGGACCCGTGAGCTGATTTTTTTTTTTTTTTTTTTTTGTTTCGATAAGAAAATTAGAATTTTGAATAACATAAGTCATTAAAACACACTTCATATGTCGGGAAAGCTCATTTCCCGCCTTCTAGGAATAAAAATTTTCCTGGGGGAGAACCCCCGTCCCCCTTTCTTTTTGGGATGTATCAATTCATGGAAAAAAATCGTATGCAACTACTCAATTTTTTGTGTAGGCCTATGTATACACACATAAGGCCCCTATCTACTGTAATAACAATGGGAAAAATTTACCTGACCGTTTTGAAGAGGGGAAAACCATGAATTTACCTTGAATACCTACCTTTTCAGGACCCGTGAGCTGATTTTTTTTTTTTTTTTTTTTTTGTTACGATAAGAAAATTAGAATTTTGAATAACATAAGTCATTAAAACACACTTCATATGTCGGGAAAGCTCATTTCCCGCCTTCTAGGAATAAAAATTTTCCTGGGGGAGAACCCCCGTCCCCCTTTCTTTTTGGGATGTATCAATTCATGGAAAAAAATCGTATGCAACTACTCAATTTTTTGTGTAGGCCTATGTATACACACATAAGGCC